ACATATTAGTTAAATAGTCTTTTATGTAGGATTAAGTTGAAGCATATAAAATCGTCAGTATTCAGCTATGTTTTACATAAAAACAGCCTAGAGCAAAGAATCCGTAATAGGCAGGCCTGGTCTCACCTCTTACCAGTCTCGTTCCTATACAGACTTGCGTCTGTATCATACACGGGGAATTAGACTGAAATCAGAAGAGGTAACACGAGTTCCAAAGAACAGTTCCAAGAAAAAAGGAGTGATTCGTAGGTTATTCAGAAGCTGGCAGCTGCTGAAACAGAGACACTTGTAGGGAAAGAGAGACACTTGTAGGCACGCCTGTGTTTGTGCTACATGCTATGAGGGACACAAGCACAGTGTTGTGGTTCATCTGTCACCACTGGGCGGGCTGTGGCCCCACAAGGGAGGTAAGGCACAGGCCTGCAGAACCGCCGGGACCACACAGGCGAGGCTGGCTGTGCGGAGCAGAGCGGGAGGGCAGGGCAGGACGGTCCATTTACAGGAGTCTTGCACGGCCAGCTGAGGGATTTATACTCAGACCTAAAAATTTTAAGCAGAAGAAGGACATCAAAGAAAAATATTTTCTTGAGAGGCTTGATCTGGTCTTATTGTGAAGGACAGACCAGAGCGGGAAACAGCACCAGGACAGCTCACTGCTCGTGGCTCAGCCTTCTTTCTTTGGGGGACAAATTCAATTATATTTGTCTTCTGAGCATGATATTTTAATTCAACTAATAAAGCACTTTTGAGCAAACAAATGCTATAATCTTTGATATTTACCTGCCGTTTGCTCCCTGTTTTTTCCTCAAAGAGCCCTGAAATACACACGCTCCTCACACCCAAAGTTACCATGGGAATTATCTATGTGGTGTATGTCATGCACAAATAATCCCTAAGCAGGAAATGGCTTCCTATACCCATATCTCACAGGCAGCCAAAATTTCAGGCATTCATCCCCAAAGAAAAGCATGTAAAAGTTGAAAGAAACACCATAGCCTTCTCGTGTCATTTGCCACCTCACGTGTCTTGGGTCCAAACAACTACCTGCCGCGCTTTTCGACCACGAGGTATTTTTTTTTATGTCATATGCTTGGAGGAAACACCCTAGTGCGTGGTGACAGAACAGTCTCAGCAGAGACAGCACAGCAGAGAATGTGCTTCTCGTGGCCTGAAATGACTCTGAGGCACCAGAAGCAAATGGCCGGTGCCACAAGGGTGTGTGCGTACCAGAACGCTGGACCGAACGGTCAAAGCCAGGGGAGGCCTGGCAGAGGGTCAGGCCAAAGTCAGAGGTGGACAAAGCAGCCCGCAAAGTCGGACCAATGTAGTTACTCCCACTGGGCAAGAGAGCTGGACGGCAGCATTAGGTGTGCAGGGGCTCTTTTAGCATGTCAGACCACAGGTTCATCGTCCGTCACAGGCAGTGCCACCTGCTGTTGTTGTAATGCAAGACCCCAGTGCAATACCATAACCGCACTGTCCTACAGAACACTACCCGAATTCAACCCCGGCGCCCGTCAATACGACAGCATCCAATTATCCAGGACCACATTCTCCTTTACAAACAACGCCAGAAAACTGCAGCTGGGTTCCGAAGCGGGTCACAGACAGCAGCAACTGAACCCAACATTCCTGATGTAGAACCACGCACTCTGGGCATCCACCACCCAGCAGGGACAGTGAGGGCAGGAGAATACCCAAATTGGTTAGAAGAATAAATGGACCCTTTAGGGTTGTGATCCTTTAACAGATTTAAAATCATGGATCACCGTGGAAAAAAGAAAGGAGCAAAACAGTTTCCCACAAAAATGGACAGCAGACGGAACCGCTCCTCAAGGAGCAAGGAAAGGCAATCAGTGGTACGCAGCCTCTAAGGTGGCCCCGTGATCCACTCCCAGTATCTCCTGGAGTGTGTGTAGAACTGGGACTTGCTTCCAGTCAACAGAAGATGGCGACGGTGCTGGCCGTCACTCCACGGAGCTTACGTTACAGGAGCTCCATCTTGCTAGCATCCTCCTCGTCAGCGTAATGAACCCGGCGGCCACACCAGGAAAACCCATATGGCAATGAACGTGGCCTCCAGGTCGGCCAGAGAGAGGCCAGGGCCCCGGGTCGTACAATCATGAGGACATAGATCTGCCCAACAACCTGAGGGAGCGTAGAAGCAGATTCTACCCCAGTCATGCTTCCAGATGAGAACCAAACCCTAGTCAACACGTTGACTGCAGCCTCGTGAGCCAGGCCGGGCCCTGACTTCTGACCACAGGAGCAATGGAACAATAGATGTGTGTTGTTTTGGGCCTCTACGTTTGTGGTGATTGTTGTGCAGTGACAGAGTACTCCTCCGTGGCCCCGTCATGAGACAGTGAGTGGGTTTGCATTTGTTCTCTCTTACACCTTCAAGGACTTAAAACCAGAGCCCAACATTTCTCCTCCTCTGTTTCAATGGTGGAGTTAACTTTTCCTGGACCTGAAACTATTTTTTCTTGGTTAAGGATGAACGATTTGAAAGCAATTGCCTCCTCTGGAAGCATGGTATGCACTAAATGACTATTATTTCATTTTTTACAAAATTGCGTATTTGCCCTGTGTCACTCTTCTGGGAGTTACGGGAGCTACAAAGATAAGCAGCGCGCTGTCCCTGTGCTCAGAGTGCGCACTGTCTGGAAAGAAAGACTAAAGCAACCATCTACCCATTCGACAAATATTTACCTTAAGCCTACTATAGGCCTCCCCCGCTTCTAAGTGCTGATGAAACAGGAGGGAACGGAACAAAGCTGTCCGCCCTCTGGGCAGGAAGACATTATGATAAACTGAAGCGCACAAACAAGTATGGCAGAGACCAAAAAGCCTCCAGGGGAAGCACCACCTCTGCCGCCATCTGGCACCTGGTCTGTATCTCTTCACTCAAGAAGGGGCAACCTCATGGTGGTTTCCAGTAGGTCGTGAATTCCCCTGATTTAGTTGCAGTTCAGGACTTGTGCCGGAGGACCTAAGAACCATCGATGGCTTCCCCACACATTCGGTCACAGCATCCTGATCCTGAGAAACAGATCTGATACAGACTTTTCATTCCGATGTGAACACTCAGCACCACGTGCCAAGCCCTGGTATTAGGTAACAGGAAGGGTTTCTAAAATAGTCTGTTAAGATAGCAGAGACACATCTGACGACTGCAGGAAGGGGAGGAAGAATGCAGAATGAATTCACTCTAAGCACTCTTACTAAACAGGCCCCGAAAAGAGGAGGAAAGAAAAGGACACTCAAGGTTCACAATGGCTTCTGGCACCACACAGGATGTTCCCCCCTCCCCGGCCGCACTTCCCTGCCGGCAAGGAACCAGTTTTACTGTCTTTTGGGAAAGTACACCTGGTAACTGTGCACCCTGGTTTCTGACATTTACACAGTTGCAAGGGCCTCATAAACACGCGGTGTACTTCCAGCCGTGAGCCTCCCTATGAACTATGCGGTAGGAGCTTTGGGGAGTCTGGCCCCTCCTTCTTATTTCAAGGTCACTGCTCAGAGACGCCTACCTGTGGCAAAGGCCGCTGGCCATATCCCCCACAAAGTTCCTCTGATGAAGGATGGCATGGCCTGCTGACCCTGATTATGGGTGCATTCTTTTTTTTCAACATTAAAAGAAAAATTTTTTTTAATGTTTATTCATTTGGGGGGGGGAGGGGCAGACAGAGAGGGAGACACAGAACTCAAAGCAGGCTCCAGGCTCCGTGCTGTCAGCACAGAGCCTGAGACAGGGCTTGAACTCACAAACCATGAGATCATGAGCCGAAGTCAGGCGCTTAACTGACTGAGCCACCCAGGCGCCCCTACGTGTGCATTCTTAATACAGCTATTTTTGGAATTAAGAATATGAATGGCCACAAAGGACAGTAAGTATGTGAGAGGGAGGGAGAGAAGTCAGGGCAGGTTCTTTTGTAAACACACACACCTGAAAAAACTGCCTCCTTTTGATGATGCATAAAATAGCAACAATAACAATGAAGTACCCATACTCAGTGAACTTGTTATTTTAATCAAAAGCTAACAGGAGTAATAGCTTTCAAGTATTTTAATAGTAGAACAACCCATCTTTCCCAAACCACATCTGCCAAACCCAAACTTTAGAATCAAATAAAAGTGGAGCCTCTCTTACACAGAGAGATGGGAGCCACTGAGCCCCGCTGGCTAGCCCTGACCTGCCCCCGCCCTCCCTGCCTGGCTCCTTGGCCCCCCTCAGGACTCTGCGGCTCCAAGGCCCAGCCTGAAATGCACTGGCCTATAGTCACTACATATAGCCATACATATGGCACTACTGGCCATAGATCACTACAGCACCTGAACCTAAGAATAAGCTACGGGAGAATCCCTAAGTAAAAGGGGGGAAAGCAGAAGAATAAAGAGATAGAAGCAGGAGGAAAGGCTTGAAAGCAGGAAGGAAACTGGAGCCTGCCCTTGACCCTGAGAAGCACCAAGGCTCCAAGAGTCAAAGGCAGCACCACAGTGCAAACCATCAGTGTCACGGCATTGCACACCAGCACGGACAGGCCAGGGGCCGCTGCCCAGAGCGAGGGCCACCAAGGGCTGCACACCACACAGCAGCCCCGCATCCACACCGGGAGTGAGCGGCGGGCTTCGGCAGATCCTCTCTCCACAGCTGCCCTGATGGACATAGATTTCACCTGGGATGTCGGTCTTTCCCCCCCCCAGTTCCCAAGCCTTGCATTGGGCAGGGTATTGGGAGTTCTGTCTCAAGGAAATGCAGAAATTTAATAAGCCCGCAAAAGTGAAGGGGCACTCGCGTTTTCTGACGAGGGGATGGGCCTGAACTGCTAAGGGCTCTGAAGAGGCAGAGCAGTGATAGATAAGCTTTAAAAGATGATGACGCAGGGTGTAGCTGTCAGTTAATTTATAAAGTCAACAGCCAACTGAAGGTCTAAACGGACAATCCATTCTAGTGCCCAAGAGACCGCCCTGCCAGCGTGCAGATGGGCAGACTGTACCTGGAACAGGATGTGAGGACTTGTCACCTCGTCACCCGAGGATCGCCTGGGTCCTGGAGCAAAGACGTCTCAGGAGGGATGAGATGGGCACTTCCGGCTCCTGGGAAGCAAAGAAGAGACGTTAGGCGCCACCCATCTGGGCCCCAGAACCTCCATGCCTGTGGCTGTGAGGCGAGGGATGATTCTGTTCAGCTCGGAGTCAGAAAAGACACCCGACCTATAACACCAAGCAAAGGTAGGTGGCATCAGAGGCCAGGCAGGTAAGGGTCCCTTCACGGGGACTGAACAGACATATGGTGAAGCACCACTGGGCAGGGGACAAGACAGGAAACTGGACGAGATGTCCTCCGAACCAGAGATCTTACCATGTGACCTCCACCAACGAGGACCAAATCTCAAACAAGCATCACCCAGACAGACTCCCTCCACAGACCTAGGGCACAAAGGTAGATGGGTGGTAGGTGGGAAGGCACAAAGCCGTGTGGGGAGAGAATCCACCTCCCACCCCCACCCCCCACCTCTGACAACTGCACTGAGAACTGAAAGTGGCGGGGGCAGAAAGTCTTATCTGGGTCCCTCAGGAAACAGTCAGACTCCACCTGTGAGTGGCCATCTTGCCAAAGACTCTCTGGACCAGCTGACAGATGGGCACAAACGTACGCCTGCCCTGGAGACTTCAGGATGGGCCAGGGTGCTCTAAATGTAGAACGCGCGCTGTCACCATGAGCCTAGCGGAGTGGCCTACAGTCCCACAAGGAATGGGATCGAGTGGCCGGAGCCCCCCCATCCGAAAGCAAGTTACCTCTGCTGATATAAAGTCCTCTGTCTCCTCAATCCTACCACTTCTACTTTGCACACACTCGCGCGCTCACCCAGGAGCTGGAGAGGTTTAATTAAAGCCTCCTGACGTGATCTGCACTAATGAAACCCAGAGCGGATTATCATTACACCAAAGATGCACATCAAGACGCTAATCAACAGAGTTTTGGAACTTCCACAGCAGCAAACCAGATTTCCGACCACGGAGATCCTACTCTATCCCGACCCACACCTTTTGTACGCTCGTCGTACTCGAGGCTTCGTTCTTTTCCGCTTTCTATTTGCAAAACGTGAAAACCTACAGAAACACGAAAGGAACGTTTACATACCCTTCATCTACATTTACCGACATTTCTCATTTTGCCGTGTTCGTTTTATTTTTATATACACTTTTCTCGTGAACCATTTGATAGTGAGCTATAACAGCTACCGTGACACTTGACCTCTATTTTGGTAACTCCTAAGAACAACATCTCCGGCAAAACTGCAATGCCATTATCACACCGAAGACACTGAACATGCAGTCGATGGCATCTAAAACACGGCCCATAATCAAATGCCCCAAATTGACAGCGTGTTGCTCTTTCTCTATCATATGCCAGGTACCACAAGGGCACTGAGAGGGTCACGGCCCCGCAGGGGAGACTGACCTACAGATGCCTTACTGGGGACAAGGGCACTGAGGTGGTGTGGCTCATATGCGAGTCTCTGTCTTGGCTGAAGAGAAAGTGGTTGGCCCCACCTGAAGACTTGAGGAAAGGCCTTTGCAGTGAAGCCCTAAAGGACAAGTCTAGCCAACATATACACAGCAGGAACTGAACTGTGAAACTAGACAGGCTTGAATGTGGTTGCCAGAATAATACCGTCCCCCCCCCCACCCAACCCCAAACATCCAAATCCCAATTCCAGGAATTGGTGAATATGTTAGGTTACACGGCAAGGACGAATTAAGGTTGCAAGAGGAATAAAGATGCTAATCAGCTGACCTTGAGATGGGAAGATTTTCCTGTGGCGAGCCTGATGTAGTCACGAGGGTCCACCAGGTGGAAGAGGGGGGCGGGAGAGTCAGTGTCAGAGGGATGCAATGTGACAAAGACACCATCAGCCACTGCTGGCTTTGAATGTGTCAGGGGACCAGGAGCCAAGGAAGGCAGGCAGGCTGGGAGGGACAAGGAACTAGACTGTCTCTCAAGAGTCCTCAGAAAGGAACACACCCCTGCCACCACCTTGACTTGAGCCTGGTGAGATGTATTTCGGACTTCTGACCTCCATCCAGAACCGTCAGGCAATAAATGTGTGCTGTTTTAAGCCAATGAAAAAACAAAAACAAAAAAACACAGAGGCTGGAAACAAGGCTGGAAACTATCAAAGTGCTGGGAGATGGGGGCAAATTCATCCAAGTCCTTGTGGCCAAGCCAAGAAAACTACACTTTGTCCTTCCGGGAAGGGAGAGACAGCCAAGTGCCATGATCGGATCTGTATCTTAGGAATAAAACTCTGAAATAAAAGGAGCAGAAGCTAGAAGGAAAATAACTAACAATGCTTGTTGCCAACGATAAAATTTGAGCTTTCAAACAAAAAAACAACAACAAAAAAAAATAGAATTTTGGAAAACTTGCATCCGTCACCAAGAACTCAAAAGATTCCCAAAACTTAAAACAGTTTTCTGATGACACTGGTGATGTTAACAAATGCGATTTTTAGAAAACAATTACATGATGAAATCTGTCAACGTTTGAAGATCTGCATAATTCAGTAAGACAGTATTTCACTGAAACATGGACAAACGACTGATTCAAAGTACAAGCGTAATTTTTGAAAAAAGTACAAAACAAGACACATTTTCAAGTACAAAAAGCCTGTCAATATGGTTTTAGATTCCACCGTAGAACCAACTACCTCCTTTCAAGTTTTTGTGCAGTATCGAAAAAGAACACTCAGGGGCGCCTGGGTGGCTCAGTCAGTTAAGTGTCTCACCTCGGCTCAGGTCATGATATCGAGGTTCATAGGTTCGAGCCCCGCATCGGGCTCTGTGCTGACAGCTCAGAGCCTGGAGCCCGCTTCGGATTCTGTGTCTCCCTCTCTCTCTGCCCCTCCCTTGCTCACACTCTTTCTCTCTCAAAAATAAATAAACATTAAAAAAAAAAAAAAGAACACTCATAATTATCCAAAAAGGCTACTATCCTTTTCCAAGTATCTACCTGAGGCCTATTTTCTTTATATATTTCAGCTAAAACAGACATCAAAACCGACTGATGCATAATTAGACATAACAATCAAGCTGCCTTCTATTAAGCTGAGCATTAAAGAGATTTGTAAATATGAAAAATGACACTACTCCCATTAAATTATTTAGCAACTAGTTATTTTTCATAGAAATGATACGTTAACAGAAAATGGCTTGTTATTTTTAGATGGATTAGTACGTAAATATTTGAAGCTGATCCCAACTCAAATTTGTAAGATGATAAGTGTTGATACATACCACCCACATAAGCAAGAGTTCCTTCGAGTCCTCAATAGTCTGTAAGAGCACAAGGCGGTTCTGGGACCGAACAGCTTGAGAACCACTCCCTTATGGGCTGCCCAATCAAGTGAACACAGCACCAAGCTGGGTGTATGCTCACATCGCACAAGGTCCTCCCCTGCTTCTTTGGGCACGATGAAGCCGCCTAAAGGGGATCCCCACTCTGCTTCCATTCTCCTGTCACGGTATACAAGCAGTGAATGCTCAAGCTGGAAGTCCGGAAGAAAAGCATGCCATACGTTAATCCAGGCTGAACTCATCAGGATTAATGCGGTTGGAATGCATAGCAAATAAACTCATTATAACTGCTTTTCTTTAATCCAAGAATGTTCCAACCGATCATTCTACTCCTACAGATCTGGCGACTCGCTTTTTACCAAGGAAGGAGAATGCTACATACACTTCAGACCTTAAGGATTCAATTTCACTTGTGTCATAAACACAGCAAGCAACATTTCAACACCACCCGACAAGCTTCACTGAAAGGGTGTGGCTATGACACCATGTGGCTCTGGGTAACGGGGGGCACCTGGCACACTGACGGGAAATATGTACGTAAAATAACATGGAAACACCAGCAAACATACTTCCACTGAGTAATTTACACATCAAAGGGAATCAGGTCTTTTCATTAAGTACACTGATGAACCACTAAAAATGCTTTCCCATTCATGAGACACAACCCCCAGCTCTTTGGCAACTTAAGTACCTGCTTTGCCTGTGAATGTGATTTTATCCCATTCATTCCACAAATGTCTTGGGCGCCAGATACAGTTTCAGAAACCAGAGAGGCGGCAGTGACCTTTATTGGACCAAAATCTCTGACTTCTTAAAGTCTATCACTGGAAATACCTCTTTGAAAACTAAGGATGGACGAAATATTCACTGGAGGAAGAACGCTTCTGGTTTCCTAAAGCAACTGCATGAAATTACCAGAAGTAAGATGAGCCCCAACTACACACGGGAAGGTCAGATGCTATGGTTACTGTAAGGAACAAAGCTACAGACAGCACAGTTCAAGGCGATCGGGGGATTTCTGTTAAGTCCACGGACTCTCGCCGGGAACGCTGGCAAGAACGGAGCTCCTCTGGGAAGGCCCAGCAACCTATGGGACGCCCAAGGCAGTTCCCCAGCGGATGTGTGGGCTGTCAGAATCCTGAAAGGGGAGCATCTGTGGTTGAAAAAAGCAAATCATAATGAATTGTTTTCTTTGGCATGAATAGTTTTCAAATTTCAGCATAAGATTTATGTCGGTTAAAAGGGAGCACAGGCTAAGAGGCTGAGTAGTTAAACGGAAACCACTTTTCTGCTCCAGGAAAGACGGGGAGGATGGAACCAAAGCCCCAAGTACAGGAAGGAGCCTGCAGTGTCCCCAGAACAAGCAGGGCAGGCTTCCGGGCATCACCAAAGGATCCAGAACTGAGCTCAGAGGCTCTCATACTTTCGTCTCCTGGTCCCTGGGGAGCCTGCTGCGTGGGCACCGTAGGAACCGCATCCAGAACAGTCCGGACTGTCCCAGCTGCACCTGCAACCCGCTGAGAGAACCACAGGAATATGGGAGTGATCCCTTCTCTCCTTCGGCCTCCCAGCCTTAACCCCGCACTTTAGATCTACCCAGAAATGATCAGACCCTTATTAACTGAAACAACATACCCTCAAGGGGCAGATCTGGAGGGTACCAGCATCCAAAATACTATGTTCTCCTATGTTTCCACTGGACCCACACTTCCTGACTTCCACAGCTCCACGGGAGCACAACAACACACTGGCTTACCAGCTCCTCAACGGTAGGGGGGTGTCTTCTACCCGTGACCATGGGCTTTACAGCTGCTACTCAGCAGCTCCCCAGGAAAACTCGCAGAATAGATTCCAGCGTCCATCTCAGAATGTGAGTAACTCACCTCTTTTTCCAATTTCCAACGTCCGTCCTAATCCCGCCTGTATTTGGGACCTATACCAGTTTCTGTCTACTCCCTGAGACGGCAATAACATTTAAGCATAAATGCTGTTCGAAAGACCGCACACTCTGGTTCTACAAAACTTACTGGGGGAAAAAATGACAAACTCTAAAGGA